TAACATAAAGCAAGGTTCCTGAAAGGAGCCAAGCTGTCTCTGTACACTTTGCACACTTTTGTTTGTGAGCAAGATCTCAGGCACCAGGCTTCATTTATCTTTACCTAAAATGCTACATTGTTCTTAATTATCACATTCCTATATACTTTCAGGAGGAAGAAGAGCATCTGGGTTAAACTGATTATATTCAGAGGTGGTTCAAAGGGGCTGCCACAGATCAACCCAGGGTCTGCGTATGCTGTCCCCAGCATCAGGCACCCTTTGATCAGGGTGAGCATGATAGCTGGGTACCCACTGAGGGAGAGCTCAAGATTGTGTCTACAATTCTGATCTGCAAGTATCAACTCTCCAAACCCAAGGGAGGCTTTTCCAGCCCTTTGAAGCAGCATTTTAAATATTCCAGCTCCAGTTCTCCACCACCACCCCCAACCATGCCCCCCACAACACACAGCCACTCTGATTAATTAGGGTACCTCAGAAATATTTCAGAGTTCATGATGCAGCCAAAGCAATTTTTCAAAGTATCCTCACCTCCTCTTGGTAAATGTTGACACATAGTAAGTGGTTTTCTTGAGATTTTACAAGGTTCAAAACTAATACTGGCCTTGTTTCTTGCATGATATGAAAGACACTATGGTGTCCTTTTACACATTTACACAGCAAATTCTCCTATTTTAATGTTTTCTAAAATATTTTGAAAACTACTAAACATATGCCTTAAACCTATAAATAACAGATATTTTGTGGAGCAAATGACTGCCAGAGAAGAGAGCACAGGGACGTTTAGAGCTGAGACAAAGGGAAAAAAGAAAAATATACATATAAATCTAAAAACAGAAAAGAATCTAGTCTGTCTTCCCAACACTGGCAATGTGGAGAAGAACCTTATTTTAATATATACTTGTTGTTAAGTCCACCGAGTTGGTTTCCAACTCATAGCGTCCCTGTATAGGGTTTCCAAGGAACAGCTGGTGGGTTTGAACCATTGACCTTGCAGTTAGTAGTCCAGTGCTTATCCTATAGCACCACACCAGGACTCCAGTATGTACATGAGAGGGCTTCAAAAAGTAGCTAGAAAAATGGAATTAGAAGAATTTTTCCACAAACTTTTTGTAGCCCCCTAATGTAGCTCAGAAATTCAAGGTTTGGGTTGGGGGTCGTATATATAGTGTTACTAATACCCTAAGAAATACCTCTTTATTTGTAGACATTGATTATTATCCCATTTGAATACATACATATATGATATGTGTGAAGATATATACAAATCTATACACATAAATACCAATATTTATTTTACAATTGATGGTTGTAAGCTGTTGTTGAAGCAACTGGAGGAAGGAAAGAGGTGCCAAAATATCACCAGTCAGCAATTTGTAGATTATCTATTATATGTTAGACTCATTTGTACAGCCCTTAAACGGGATGTATCATTTAAACTCTACAGTGATCTTAGAAGGATCGATACTATGGTAAAATTTTAGGGATGAAGGCAGTGAGGCCCAGAGAGTTTAAGTAGCTAGATCACTCTCACACATCTGGTATGTGGCATTAAACCCGGGTGACCTGACCATGGAGCCTCTTACCCTAACACATGGGGCTGTCTCTACGTGTGTGCCTACCATCCATGGTGATTCTTGGAGGCCAACCCTCCCCAGCAAAGACAGTGAACAACTAGGGAGGCTGAGGCTTCAAAGGGCCTGCCCCCTTCCCACCCATCAACACTCTGGACCTCTTTTGTTGGCCAATGGCTCCAAGACCAGCAAGGTAATCACATGACTTATCTATAAGAATAGGGTCTCAGACTTTTCTAAGAGAGATTCTACTTTCCACTTCCTTCACACTAGGATCTGTCTGTCCATCTTCCACTTTCCTCAGACATTATACTCACACTGGAAAGCCACCAGTCTTCCTCAGAGTAGATGCCCTGGGACCAGGAGGAATGCAGAATGGAAAAAATAATCCCTGCTCAACGGTTCTTGTTCAAGTGACATCAAGTCGGTTCTGATTCACAGCAACCCTGTACAGGGTTTCCAAGGAGCGACTGGTGAACTTGAACTGCTGACCTTGCGGTTTAAACCAACAATGGAGTCCAGTGCATTAATCCACAGCACTGATGAGACTGTAATTCTCTCATCTCTGCAACTAACCCTTCTTGGATCTCAATGTTCTCGTCAGTGCAGTTAGGGCAGGAAGTGAAGTAACTTCCTGAAGTCACAGTCATGGTCATTAACGTATTCTATGACCATATTTACTCTTCTGAATAGCCTGTGGGGTCAAAATACTCACTTAAGCAGGAGAGGAAAGTCAGGTTTAAGGAGAGAGGCTGTTGAAGATCGTAATAGGACTTCAGAGTCCACCTCTATCTACCACAGTAGGTAATGCTGAAGCCTCCATTCCATTCTCAAATAGATGAATCCATAACCGAATTCTATCATGAATGTGGAATAATACAAGCGAAAGGCATCCCTTGAAGCTTGAAATATGTCATTTAAAAATAAACATTAAAAAATAGTCATTTACATTTGGTACAAGTTTGGCAAACTTGTAATTTAAAATGTTTGTTTTTGTTAAGTGCCATTGAGTCTATTCTGACCCATAGTGACCCTGTATAGGGTGTCCAAGGAGCAGCTGGTCAGATTGAACTGCCAACCTTGAATAATTATTGATTAATTGTCTTATTCCCATTTCCTTTCACAAGTCCCATGTAGAATAACAGTCAACTTACTAAATTTCACTGAGGCTCAAATGGCTAAAGTGTCTAGTCATAAATCAGAGATAACCAATGGCTGCTTCACTCTCTAGAAGAAGCAAACGGACTGTATTTTACTATAGTGTCTCAATTGTTACTTATTTATTGGCTTCTAAAAATTTTGCTTGGTCTTAGAAGTAAAATGGACTAGTGTACCTTTGGGATGGATGTGGTTTAAAAGACAGTGTCGTTGATCTTGCATATATAGTTAAAATTAAACCATTTTAAAAAGAACATCTAAAAGTACTCCCAAAGTGAGTTAAATTGTTGAAGAAAATAAAATTTCATTCTTTACCAACTGTTTTGAAATAATTAAGCTAGTGAATCATAGAATTTGGAGCTGAATGATAGCATAGCTACTTAGGACATTTTCAGATATTATATTCATTTACAGACACGTCAGTTGAAGCCCACAAACTCAGTGACTCACCTAATATTATTCAGTTTGTTATCAGCAGAACTTGAACTAGTCTCCAGCATTTCTGGAGCCAACTCAGGACTCTGTTCATCACTCCTTCTTATTGCTTCTCAACAACCTACTCAATAGTCAGCAGATCGTCACAGAATTAGTTAGAAAAGCCCAGGAAGTTAAGTTCATCTACCTTATTGATATCGTTGAGGCAATGCAGAGGTGAGACTTGCCCAAAATGGCAGTCCCAGGAATAGAAACCAGATCTTTTACCCCTTAGTCTGAGGGTCTCCCTACAATGTTCTCCCTGCTTCCAGGTTTATGCAAGAAGCAAAGTGCTAAGTCTCCATTTTCATTGATTATTTATCACTTGTTGCGAAATATGTATCAATACCATTTGTTACCAAGATAATTATTGATTCTGTTTTTATTTTTCATAGCTGTCCCAGTTAAATCAGAGTTGGCAGTTGAAATTTTGGAGAAGGGGCAGGTCCGGTTTTGGATGCAGGCGGAGAAGTTGTCTAGCAACGCCAAAGTCAACTACATATTCAACGAAAAGGAGATTTTTGAGGGACCGGTAGGTTTTACTTTCTTTAGATTTTTACATGTATTGTTATAGAATACCCTATTCAAATACAGGTAAGCTGTGAAAACTACTAGGGTTTTAAATCATTTCTTCAGGTAAAAGAATGTGAAGGTAAAATACAGATTGCATCTTATTTAGGAGCATGGTGGCTCCTTAGGATAAGCACTGCACTGTGAACCACAAGGTTGGCAGTTCCAGCCCACCAGCCGCTCCAAGGGAGAAAGATGAGACTTTCTGCTCCAGCAAAGATTTAAAAGCCCCAGAAACCCTATACAGGGTCACTGTGAGTCAGAACCGACTCAACAGCATATAACAACAACAACAACAACAACATCTTATTATCCAACTAGGACACTTTAAGAATGAAAGAGGGTGCTAATAAGAATTTTACCAAGTCAACAGTCATAAACCAAAATTATCTTTGGCAAATTGATAAATATGGTCACCTATGAAAATAGATCTCCTCACCTGAACTAGCATAACCCCAGCAAAGACTGGTACTTTGTATTAAGGAAGGGACTTCTATTGTCCCGATGACTCCAAACAAGACAAGAAAAAAGATCTCATACTGCTTTTCTGGTTTAAAATAGTCTATGTTGTTGTTGTTGTTAAGTGCTATGGAGTCAGTTCCAACTCATAGTGACCCAGTAAAGAGTTTCCAAGGAGCAGCTGGTGAGTTTGAACCACCAACCTTGTGCTCCAGTGATTTATCTTACAGTGCCACAATATACTTACTATAAAAAAAAATTAAATAAAAACAAACAAAAAACCACACACAAATCATAATTCTTTAAACTTTTGATATACATGCTGATATATACTTTTGTGGGGAGGGCAGGATGCAGTGGCTCTGTAGGATAAGCACTGGACTTTGAACTACAAAGTCAGCAGTTCGAGCCCACCAGCCGCTCTGCAGGAGAAAGATGAGGCTTTCTGCTCCGGGAAAGATTTACAGCTATCAGTCAGAATTGACTCAACAGCACTTAACAGCAATATATATATTTACCTTGGTAAAATCAGACATATAGACACAGAAACAGAAAGAAGAACAAGAAGTATATGTTGTTAAGTGCCGTCGAGTCAATTCTGACTGATAGCAAGCCTGTATAGGGTTTCCAAAGAACAGCTGGTGGATTTGAACTGCCAACCTTGAATAATTATTGATTAATTGTCTTATTCCCATTTCCTTTCACAAGTCCCATGTAGACAGGTTGGAAACCACTCAGTGGAGATTCTACCTTCCCCCGCACCCTCTGAAACTAAGCTCCCTCTTGAAAACTTGTAAGCTAGTCACTTCATGCCTTTGTTGTCTCCCCATTTTGGGTAGCCAATATCTAAGTTGCCCATCCCTGTCAACTCTGTGCACAGAGGGGTTGGGAATGATCCTTGCTGTAAAGGATTCATTCCCTCTTTTAAGTTACTACATCCATAAGTATAGGTCAAGTTCATCAAATTTGTAGTGGATTAGACATTTTTCCCTCTTCTTTCTTCCTCTAGTTGAGTTCTGATCATTTCGCCATTGAAGCTAGGCAAGTATGGGCATTCTTGAGCATCTCCCCTCACTTCATATCAGCTGTATGCTTCACTTTCCGCTCTAGTCCTCTCTGACTATGTCCCTGTCCATGGGCTCAGGAGTCCCCAGGTCTTGCTATTCTGCTAGCCAGCCAGGTCACGATCCAGGTTGACAGGAGTCTATTGAACGTGGTCAGACTTAGTTCACAGCCTAATGGCTGCTTTTCCCCTACTTCCCCTTATGAGTAGACCAACGTGGTCACCAGCAAGATTACATGCCTGCTCATGTATTCCCTTTGAGTTTCAGTCTTGGAAGGGGGTTTTCCCTGAGGGGACTTAATTGCTTGCCTTGATGGCTCCTGGGTGAACAACTTTCTTGTTTCTGTAGTAGTCAATCAGACTGCTGTTATTGTTTTTTATTTTTCCTGCTGGTCTTTCTTTCAAGAAGTATCTTCTGTTTCTCTGGCTGCCCCACACTGGTCTGCTTGTCTTTTCCAGTGGAAATTTCCCACCTCAAAAGATTCTGGATGGGGATCAGGATTCCACCTAAGGTCTTATACACTGCAAAGGCTCTTCAGGAAGCCTCTTTCACTGGGCAAGTTCTAAACCCATTTTAGATATTCCAATCAGTTATAGGCTGAAGACAGATTTAAAGCTTTCTATAGTGATATTTCTGGCTATTCCTTTCTCTCCCTCTCAAGTGTCTATATTACAGTAGTAGGAAAGGGAAACCAAGATTCTTAAGACAGTCAAGCATCTTAATGTTATTTCCCCTCTTTTACCATTCAAACCATGCCTCAATCCGTGTATCACAGAGCCCTGTTGTTTCAAGGTTGAGCATACATCACTATTTACCTCTGTCCCACTTAGCCCTGCCTAAATGTTCTCCCATCTGCCTTGTTCTTCCATTCCTCTCCCCATTCTTGTATATTGCCTCCTCCAACACCCAAACTAGCTCTTGTTTCTTGATGATTATGAGGTTCCTCTGTCCATCTCTGAGTGATTCATTTTAAGCCTCGCAGGATGACAAAACCCCTCAAAGAAGGTTCCATATACCTTATTTGGAGTCCTGGTGTGGGTCTGTGAGTTAATGCGCCAAAGTGTAAAGCTGTTTGAACTGCAAGGTCAGCAGTTCAAGCTCACCAGCTGCTCCTCAGAAACCCTTTGCAGGGTCGCTATGGATCAGAGCCAACTTGACAGCACTTAACAACAACACCATACTTTATTTGAATGCCCCCATCCCTACAATGATCCCATCCCTACAAGGAGTCCTGGTGTGGCACTGTGGGTTAATGTGCTGGACAGTAACATCAGTTTGAACTGCAAGGACTGTGATGCAAGCTCAGCAGCCACTCCTTGGAAACACTATACAGGGTTGCTATGAGTCAGAACCGACAATCCTACAAGCGTGCTGTGAATCTTACTAGCAAGCTATGCAATCTCCTTGGAGGGCCACAAATACCTCATTTGCATAGTGCTACCCAGTCATTAGGAAGCACTGTGGCTCAGTACAATAAACACTATATTATGAATCACAAGACTGGTGGTTCCAGCCCACCAGCTGCTCTGTGGGAGAAAAACTGTTTTATACTCCTGCAAAGATTGACAGCCTCACAAACCCCATTCAGGGTTACTGTGAGTCGAAATTGATTTGCCATCACTTAACAACAATAACCACCCAGTCATTTGGTGACAGTTACAAAAACTATGGCTTGTTATTGTTGTTAGGTGTCATCTAGTCAGTTCTGACTCACAGAAACTCTATATGGAGTCACCAAGGAGCAGCTAGTGGGTCTGAACTGCTGACCTTATGATTTAGCAGTAGAATGCTTATCCTACGGCATCACACACCGATCCCACACTAAGGCTGGAAGGGCCATGTTGGGTAATTTACTGCATTAAACGTGGTCTCAGCTAGAGAATGACTTCCAGCAGGGGAAGCTCTGGAGCATGAATGGCGTGAGTCTTCATTATGTGCTATTTTATTCCAAAACCTCATTAATTCAAACCTATTGTGGAATTTGTGCTTGTATGCACAGGATCTTGTTTTATCATTGTCCTCTGGAGGAAAAAAAGTTGCTGTCTAAAAAAATACAGTCTAATAGAACAGTTTTAATCCATTAAGATTAAATAGATTTCAAATACTTTGGAAGTATTTTTTCATTTCATTTAACAGATATTTATTGATTTCCTACTGTATGCCACTCATGTACTATAAATGTGGACATAGCAAAGAATGATGAACAACTTCCCTCATGTTGCTGATAGTTTACATGATTCTGCTAATTAAAAATAATACGATCTGAAAGGTAAATGGGAATCTGAAGTTAACTTTTAACGATATTTGGTGACTTTCAATAGTAAAACGATATTTAAAAAATTAAATTTCAGACCTTGTAGTAATTAATTCTGGTCATCCACAAATCAGTTACTCTGAATTGATGGTCATATAGTCTGCATAATGCTTTCCTTTTCCTGGGAAAAAAGATTTTGAAGACTTGTTCATTTTTAAAATTGTTATCAAGAAATTTTTATTAAAATTATAGCTCTTTGTGGTCTATATATATTTCACCAGGCTTATTGTCATCAAAGTAAAATATCTATTTCACTGATTTCTCTGTCTTTTCTTCTTTACACTGAAGAAATATAAGATGCATATTGACCGAAACACTGGTATCATTGAAATGTTCATGGAGAAGCTGCAAGATGAGGATGAGGGAACATACACCTTCCAGCTTCAAGATGGAAAAGCATCTGGCCATTCTAGTCTTGTTCTCATTGGAGACGGTAGGAATCCTGTGGATTTTTCACTCCAAGACTTGCTCTCTCTTCTTCAGTGCAAATACTATTAGTACTTACCTTGCTAAATCTATTAGTCATGCATTACAACTAGACAAGTCAACTCCATAAGCCACTGTGGAAACCGCCAAGATTTAACATGTGGCAGGCATTTAACAGGACAATGTAGAGGCTGGTCAGATTTCTATAACTGCAACATCCGATTCTATATCACTATTTCCTAGCTTTATGACCTTGGACAAGTTACTTAGCCTTTTCGTGTCTGTTTCTTCATCTGTCAAGCTTGAAAACTAGTGGAGTGGTAACAATGTGAGAGTAGCCTAATAATGAATATAAATCACTTAGCACAGTGTCTGGCATGTCTATTTAAGCTGCTCAACTCAATTTCATACTTTCATACCTTTTTTCCAATTTCTAGTTTATCAAAAGCTCCAGAAAGAAGCTGAATTCCAGAGACAAGAATGGATCAGGAAACAAGGTAAAATATAGGCAATAAATAAAGAGAAAAAGCATCAATTTTTTATATAAAATATTCCAAGATTATTTCCATAACATATTAAAATGGATATAATAATATATGTGGACATATAAAAACCATTAAAATATTTATGTATTTAAGCATGTTTCTATTTAAAATATTTAAAAATCAAATCTAGAATTTTCAATTTTTTATTTCAAACATAAAATACCTTACGTTTTAAGAATAAACTTTTGTTTTGCATTTGTGATAAATGGAGTGATTGCTGATGCCAGTTCAAATTTTATAGGTCCACATTTTGCAGAGTATTTGAGCTGGGAAGTGACTGGTGAATGTAACGTGCTCTTGAAATGCAAGGTAAGTGAGAGATACATTTTTAATGTTTGATTAATGTTAATGTTAATGTTTGATTACTGTTCAACCGTTTCAAGAGGTAGCATATGATCAAGAGCCAGTGATACTTAGGGAGGAA